AAAAAAAAAAAAAGAGATATGGTAGAAACTTGCACTAAGCTGGGGGACTGGTTTTCAGCCCTGTGCTTTCTCTTGTCCTCTCTGTCGCTTCAGGTGTCAGTCCTGTTTCTGCCCAGCCACTAGCCCTGTAGACAGTTACTGGAGTGCTTTGTGTGTACCCTTGGCCAAGTAGACAGTGGAGTAAAGCAAGGCCCAGAGAGGAGGAGTGACTTCAGTTTCCACGGGCAGCCATCTGCCCAGCTGTGCACTGTGGGCAGGACCAATCTTAGTCGCAGCAAATACTGTGGCTTTAGTTTCTTCGCTGAGCAGGGCTTTTTTCCTTCTGAACTCTGAGCTTCTTGGGGATCGGGACAATGTCTTATTCATCTTTGTATCGCTTGAACCCAAGACAATGCTTGGCACAAAGAGAGCGTCCAGTAGATGACTGTGTTATTGTTTAGGATGAAGACATGTTGAAGGCCACAGATAGCAGATGCTTTACAGGGCTCATCATCTGCATAGTGGCCCCAAGTACATTTTGGGCTGAGGTTAACGTTGGCCTGGGAGGTATTTGGTATCTTTACATGTGAAACTTTTTTTTTTTTTTGAAGTTCCCCTCCGTCCTAATCCACTAGTGCCATGGACAGAATTTTGGCAGACTGCTAGATGGCCACTCAGCATTGCCCGTTATGTGAGTGTCCCCGACAAGGGACAGTATGAATCCTGGATCCAGTCAGGATTCTTTTTTTTTTTTTTTTTTTTAAGTCAGGGTTTCACCATGTTGGTCAGGCTGCTCTTGAACTCCCGACCTCAGGTGATCCGCCCGCCTTGGCCTCCAAAGTGCTTGGATTACAGGCTTGAGCCACCACGCCTGGCCTAGGCTAGCTTTTAATTGTTCACTTAATGGTTTGCAGCATCTGAAAATAAAAATTAAAAAAAACAACCTTTGTACTGTCTTTCTTGGTTACTCAATTATCAGAGAACCAAGCTAAAGTAAGGAATACATTTTCTTTTAAAGCTATCATTAGTATTATCTACCTGTTTATTTTTGGAACATTAATTTGGCTCAGTCGAACTTAACATCTGAAGACAAGTTAATATTTATCTGTGAAACAGAGTACTGTAGTTTCATGTTCAGATGATTAAAGTTCACCAAAATGGGTGGCTTAGAGAACAGCTTAATAGCTTTCCCTAAAAATAACCCATTCACAGTTGATAGGTAGCATTTTAGTTGCTACAGTATATGGTGCTTGTGCGTGATAATGTTTGTCTAAATAAGGTAGACATGTTACCCACAAATATTGAGCCTCTGCTGTGAGACATGACTATTATGACAGGGAATGGAGAGGATGGGAAGAAAACCTGAAAGTACGGTATCAGAAATTTTGCGTCAGAGCCTTTGAAATGATTGTGGAAGGCTGGGCATTTATTCTGATGATACTGTTAATTACTCAAAACCTGTTTGGAACATTTCCCTTGGAATTTCCTTGAATGTGAGCTTATGAACCATGAAAGAGAATCAACCCCTTAATTTTGTAGCACAGCTAAATGTTTTTAAAAATCTCCTTTTGAGGTATAATTTGTATGCAATAAAATGTATCTTTTTAGGTGTGCTGTTCGGTGAAATCTTGACAAATGTGTATAGTTGTGTAACTGCCACCACAATAAAGATACAGAACATTTACATCACTTCAGAAAGCTTTCTTGTGCACCTTTGCAGTCACTTTGTGCCTCAGGCAACCACGGCTTGCTTTTTTTTTTTTTTTTTTTTTTTTTTTTTTNTTTTTTAAGACAGGGTTTCACCATGTTGGTCAGGCTGGTCTTGAACTCCCGACATCAGGTGATCCGCCCGCCTTGGCCTTCAAAGTGCTTGGATTACAGGCATGAGCCACCACGCCCGGCCAGGATTCTTATTCAATAAGCAAAAAAGATCTAGCAGATTGAAATTGGATGGGGTTATCTGACCAGTTTGCCCCTTTATTGAAAAGTGAAGAATTTCAGTTGTAGATTTTTTTTGTTGTTGCCGTCTTTGGGATCACACTGTGAATTAACCTTGAAGTGCAAGTGTTTTAACTTGCTATCCATAACTGAGCAGATGTGAATCCTAGAATACATACTGCATTAATTATTCCAGGAAGTTTCACAGAAAAGCCAGTTTTATTTAAAACGGTACTGCTAATTACCAGAGAATCATCCTCCTCCTACCGGCTGAGGTTAGCACCAGAACTTGAAATGTTTCTACTCGGACATAAAGAAAGTAGCCAGGCGCGGTGGCTCACGCCTATAGTCCCAGCTACTCGGAACGCTGAGGCAGGAGAATTGCCTGAAACCGGGAGGCGGAGGTTGCAGTGAGCCTAGGTTGTGCCACTGCACTGCAGCCTGGCATCTAGTAACAGAGCAAGACTCTGTCTCAAAAAAAAAAAAAGAAGGTGAGGCAGCCCTTTTCTGTCCTGTCTGAGGAAAACTTCACTCTGCCAGTTGCTTTTGTGTCCTGAATTTCCTCACCTCTTTAACAAACCATATTTTTGGCCAGGCGCAGTGGCTCACGCCTGTAATTCCTGCACTTTGGGAGGCCAAGACAGGTGGATCATGAGGTCAAGAGATCATGACCACCCTGGCCAACATGGTGAAACCCCATCTTTACTAAAAATACAAAAATTAGCGGGGCACGGTGGTGCGCACCTGTAATCCCAGCTACTCAGGAGGCTGAGGCAGGCGAATCACTTGAACCCGGGAAGCAGAGGTTGTAGTGAACCAAGATCGCGCACTGCAGCCTGGCCACTGAGCGAGACTCTGTCTCCAAAAAAAAACAAAAACAAAACCAACTATATTTTTTCCCTAAACTCGGTTATTGTTGTGTAATTCTTTTAAAGTGTTTTTTCTTAATGGAATAAACATTGATACAAACTGTTTTGGGGGCAGGCAAGTAGACAGCTAGGACAAGTAGACACAGTGATGAGAAGGAGAGTGTTCAGAAGCTGTCATTTAATATGCTCACATGCCTTTTCTTTTTTTCTTAGGATAAGGAAGCCTGTGTGGGTACCAACAATCAAAGCTACATCTGTGACACAGGACACTGCTGTGGACAGTCTCAGTGCTGCAACTACTACTATGAACTCTGGTGTAAGTCCTTGCCTGGGTGTCTCTTGGTATCCCAGGGTCCCAGTTACTCCTTCTGCTCGGTGGGGAACTGTGGGAATCAGCTCTTTTCTGAGTCTCTTGGGGACAGTGTTGGTGAGTGGAATCTGTGGGTTCCAGAAGTGCTTCCTTTGTAGAGGAAGAGAGTTCTGGTGGTCTTTGGATGTTGTTAGCTGAAGACTGGAGAATATGGTCTCTGCCACGTCTGCTGCAGAAGCTCCTGCCTGGGGTTCTGGATGCCCCCTTCCGTCGTGCACTGAGCAGCTGACAACAGCTTAGATCCTTCCTTGGGCCAGGCTAGGTGCCCTGGCTTGCCATTTTTGCAGAGAGATTGCAAGCCAAGCTACTGTGAATGCCAGGCCACTCTAGATGGCCACTATGCTATTTTCTTGTGAGGACCTCAGGGGCTTCCAGAATTTCCCATAGAACCTCATGGAGTGTCTCTGTTTCTGAGGGTCCATGTGAAACGAATAGTCTGTGTCTAGGTTGCTGCCTATAGAGGACCTTCTGGAGAGAGGAAGTCTTGAGACTCAGCTCCTTTTATTTCTTCCCCAGTTCTCACATGGAAGCTCCTGGAGGATTCCCCAGTGTACCTAACCTTTCACTGTCAGCTAAATGCCATGAGGAGGCTGAGCGCAGTGGCTTAGGCTTGTAACCCCAGCACCCTGGGAGGCCAAGGCGCTTATATTGCTTGAGCCCAGGAGTTTGAGACCAGCCTGGCCAACATGGTGAAACCTTCCCTCTCTACTAAAAATACAAAAATTAGCCGGGTAGTCCCAGCTACTTGGGAGGCTGAGGCAGGAGAATCACTTGAACCCGGGAGGTGGAGGTTGCAGTGAGCCAAGATCAAACCACTGCACTCCAGCCTGGGCAACAGAGTGAGATTCTATCTGAGAAAAAAAAAAAAATGCCCTGTGGAGACTGTGCTTGTCTTGCCACTGGTTTGACTGAGGCCAAAACCACTTGCTTCTTGAAGTTGCACGACAGTGGTGATATTGTTAAGTCTTCAGGGAGTGACCCAGGGTTGCTTGAACTGACACTGTTTGTACTCTGACCTTCCTGGAACTCAGATGAGACCGTGTAGAATGCTGGACACAGAATGAGAGCGTGCGTGGGGGAGGGGGGTCACTAGGACAGAGAGGCCCCCGGTGACTGACATTACATTGGTTCTTACAGCTGTCTCTTGAGAAAGGAGAGTACAGACAGTTTCCCCAGATGATTCTATGCCCTCATCACTGTCACCATTTGGAAACAGACTTCAAGATTTTCAAACCGTGTCCTTGCCCCTACCATCCTATCTGCCCTTTTCCCCCTTCTCCTCCCCTGTCAACTCCCTGTGTCAGTGATAACGGCGAAAAAGCCGCCAGAAGGACTATTGTTTGGACCAGAAAGGAAATTAGACTCTTGGCTGGGAGGTCTCTCCCTCTGAAATGTGGCTGTATTTGTAGCCAACAGGAGTGGCTCCTCCAAACAAGACCTCTCCCTCACCCTTGCCTTTCCCTTTTGAGGACTGAGGACAGGCCCATTTGCCTTTCTGAGGAATTCCAGGAGCAATCCAGTGCAGGAGAGCCCAGGGCTCAAGATGTCCCCACCAGACCTGCAGATATGTAAGCTGCAGTGAAAGAGGGCACAGTCATTGCTGTTATTTTAGAAGGGGTGGGGCTGAGAAACTTACTAGAGGACACACAGTGCCAAGCAGGTAGACAGACTCTGTTTAAATGTTTTAAAATGTAGATAGCCACAGGGTTCAAATTCTCCCTCCCACCCTTTGTTAAAACAGAAGTCGAAGCTGGGCTGCCAAAAAGCCACAGAGCTGCAGTTTGTTTTTCTGAGGCCTGGCCAGGCGGCATCAGTTGCGAAAAGGAACGAAGTTGCTGATGGCCCCATCACAGATTGACAGAGCCTCCTGGGCCTTTGGCAGAGCAGACTCAAGAGCCACTGGAATTGGGTCACCCAAGGCAGGGCTGAAGGGTGGAGTGGGGGGGGGACAGGTAGACCCAGAGGACAAGGAGGTAGTCTGGGAAAGCGGTGCCTTACCCCAAGGGCTTAAAGTCAGAAGAGCTGTGTGAATAGCTTGGTGTCTCTCCAGCTATGGGCATTTGGGAAAGGAGGAGGCTGGGCAGATAGCAGTGTCTACACGGAGAGAAAAGTGCCCCTGGCAAGGTGTGGTGGCTCATGCCTATAATCCTAGCAGTTTGGGAAGCCAAGGTGGGCAGATCGCAAGATCAGGAGTTCGAGACCAGCCTGGCCAAAATGGTGAAACTCCGTCTCTACTAAAAATACAAAAATTAGCTGGGCGTGGTGGCGGGCACCTGTAATCACAGCTACCTGGGGGGCTGAGGCAGGAGAATTGCTTGAACCCAGGAGACGGAGGTTGTAGTGAGCCAAAGATCGCACCGTTGCACTCCGGCCTGGGCGACAGAGCAAGACTCCAACTCAAAAAAGAAAAGAAAAGGTGCCCTGTTATATGAGCTGGCATGTGTTTTCCACGTTCTGGAGTCATGGGAGGCATAAAAGCAAAACGCCCCTCTCAGGAAGCCCTCCGATCTCCCTCCTTATTGGGGTCATGGCCTCTGCCTGGTGTGTACGGGAGGGAGGTTGATGTTGGAATGAACACCTGAAGTTCCCATCAAAATGGCACCTTTTGTTGCTTTCAGTCCTGTTCCTCTAACTGCTTCTCAACTTTGTCTAAAGTGTGAAAGTCATGGGCTTTGGGCAGATTTCCTTCCCACCTTCCTTTGGAAAGAAAAATCCTCAGCCAGGAAATCCTTTGGCAGAGTTTTCATAAGACACCTCCTTAACTATAGTTGCCTACAGGAAAGGCCTCAGGGAAAAAAATGCCATGTCTACCCACCCTTTACCTCCACTAAACTGAATTTTCCTGTGTGCTGAGGCAAGTTCTCATTTCTCACACACATACTTACACACACACCCACAGTTTACACAGACACAGAAGCACACATAGACCTGAGCTCTGGCTGGCAACCTTTCCCACGTCTTTTCAATCGTCCATAACCTAAACCAGTTACTGGGGCTGCACGTGACGAGATCGGAAGATCCTATTTTATAGGGGAAATAGTTGAGGTTTATTATGAGGACCTGATTGTTGTTGTTATTATCTCCATGCATTTAATGGCACCTATACTTTAGTTTGTCATTCCATCAGTTATTCATTCAGCAAACCCTTATTCCCATGCTTTTGAACTTTGGCGGGCATCAGAATTTCCTGAAGGACTGCTGAAAACACACACTTCTGGGCCCTACTCCCAGATTTTTTGATTCAAGACTGAGACTCAAAAACCCGAGTGTGCAATTCTAACAAGTTCCTAGTGGATGCTGTGGCCTCCTCTGGGCTGGAAACTCTGGAGAGACAAAATTCCTACCTTCAGAAGGTAATCCAGTGGGGAGGAGATAAACTGTCCAGTGGAAACCCCAAAGCCACGTCTCCCACTTCTCATCCCAAGGCTCTTTCCACTCATCAAGCTGCATTTTCCAGGGAGAGATCAAAGTTGGGAATTTTTGCCCTTGAGATAATTTGGGAGAATTTCACCCAGGCATCAATTTCCCCTGGTTTGGGCTTTAGGTGGGAGAGGAGTGTGTTTCTGAACAGTGGAATTTCCCTGAGGTGATACGAAACAGGCTATTAGCAAATCCCGTCAGTGCTTCCCAACTTGTTTTTCATCTTTCTTTCTTTCTTTTCTTTTTTCTTTCCTTCCTTCCTTCCTCTCTTTCTTTCTTTCTTTTCCTCTTTCTCTTTCCTCTCTCTCCTTTCCTTCCCTCCCACCTCCCTCCCCACGCCCTCCCTCTCTTCCTTCTTCTCACCTCCCTACTCCCTCTTCTCTTTCCCTCTCTTCCCTCCCTTCCCCTCCTTCCCCCATCTCCTCCCCTCCCTCTTCTCCTACTTCCACCTCCCCTCCTCTGCCCCCTCCCCTGTCCCCTTCCTCTGCCCCTCCCCTCCCTCCCTGTCTCCCTTCCTTTGTCCCTTCCTCCCTCCCTCCCTCCCTCTTTTTTTGTGTATGAGACAAGATTTCACTCTGTTCACCCAGGCTGGAGTGTAGTGGCATGATCTTTGCTCACTGCAGCCTTAATCTCCTGGACTCAAGGAAGGGATCCTCTGAGTAGCTGGGGCTATGAGTGCGTGCCACCACACCGGGCTAATTTTTGTATTTTTTTGTAGAGATAAAATTTCACCATGTTGCCCAAGCTTCAGTTTTTACCTGCATTTTTTTTTGTTTTCTTTTTTTTAGTTTGTCTTAAGATGCCCGTTATTAGCAAGAGCTCAGTAAATAGGAGTTGACTGAATTTCCAGTGAATTTTACCAAGAGCAGAACCTAAAATAAGGCTTTGGACTACTCATTTCTAACCCATGTTTATTTCTTTCTTGCTTTCTTTCTTTTTTAAATAAAGATGGGGTTTCACCATGTTGGTCAGGCTGGTCTTGAACTCCCGACATCAGGTGATCCGCCCACCTTGGCCTCCAAAGTGCTTGGATTACAGGCGTGAACCACCACGCCCGGCCTCTTTTTTTTTTTTTTTTTTTTGAGACAGAATCTTACTCCCTCCTCTAGGCTTGGGTGCAGTGGCAGGATCTCATCTCCCAGGTTCAAGCGATTCTCCCACCTCAGCCTCCCAAGTAGCTTGCTCGAAGTACAGACACACTTCACCACGCCCAGCTAATTTTTGTATTTTTAGTAGAGACGGGGTTTTACCATGTTGGCCAGGCTGGTCTTCCAACTCCTGACCTTAAGTGATCTACCTGCTTTGGCCTCCCAAAGTGCTGGGATTACAGGCATGAGCCACCACACCTGGCCCCGTGTTTGTTTATGGAATATTTTTGGGGGGGTTAAAAGGGAAATTGAAAGGAAACCGTTCCCATCTATGGTTAAGCCTATAATAGCAACAATAAATATAATATGCTAAGAACTTACATCAGGCATGCTTCATGTATTAAGTCATTTAGTCCACACAGAGACCAGAGAGTGAGA